CCAAATGGAAAAACAAGCAAACCAAGCAAGAGCCGATTATACCTTTCGGGAAGGAGATCTAGTATTGCTGAAACTACAACCGTATCGTCAAACAACGGTGGTTCGACGCTCATCTCAGAAATTGTCCAAACGTTTTTTTGGACCTTTCACCGTCATCAAACGCATCGGAAATGTTGCGTATTTGCTTGATCTTCCATCTTCATCACACATCCACCCGGTTGTGCATGTCTCCCTCCTGAGACCGTATCACCCACCGCCGTCCATGGATGCACCTCTCTCTTTCTCACCAGAAGCACATGGCGACACCAACTCCATCGTTTCTCCGCGCAAAGGACATGCAAGGCCTTCAAACGAGCACCAAGACATCTCCGTTCTAAGAACTTCTCCAGTTGGAATCCCTCAAGTTGGAAACACTCACATGCAGAGGGACAAGTATGGCGTACGACGTCTCAAAAATTATGATCAAAGAGAAGCCACACAGAAGAGAGAAGTGGAATATCGAGTCCCAAAGAATGGAGAAGAGGAAAATGATTCTTCAGATTTCGTTTTTGACCCACTCACATTGCCTTTGATGACTCACGAAGCTTCTAAAGGCTTCTCCACACACGTAGCAAACCACTCCCCTTCCCCTAAAGACACGCGTCCCACTAAAGGACCCACTTGTCCTTCCCCCTCTGTTCCAAACCCACGCGTGACAGCACTTTCCCCACTTCCCCATACTCACTTTCCACCGTCCCAAGACTCACACACTGCCCCACACAAATTTTTGGATTCCCTCTTTAATGATTCAGTTTCACCTCACATGGGCCCCACTAATCCACTATCTACTACAGCCAGTAAGCCCATTAATCCGAATGTTACCCCAAATCTGAACCTTGAGGACAAGGTTCTCTTGGACCCTGAGAGTATTGTTAGGAAAACAATCAGGCCCAATAGAGTTAAAAAGCCCTCTGTTTTACTTAAGGATTTTATCACCAAATAAGGGTGTATTTAGTATGTTTTATGTTGTTTAAAGGGGTCAGTTGTTTTAGGCCCATTTACAATACTGTAACCCTAGCTATAAATATCTTGTATGGGGATATTTTTAGGGTATGAAAAATGAAAGTTGTTATCTTGTTATCTTTTAATGCAATTCTGATTTATGGTAGTATCGTAGGATTCCAATCTTAACAATATATCTCTAATAATGTTACATCGTTTAGTACTAATTTACTCTATTAAGTGATACATCGGTAAGAATATATAAACTATAACAGATTTATGTTATAATCAATTTTTCCAATTTGTATGATTTACTTAGAGATTCAATATTTCAAAACTAGGTATTAGTAGTAGTAACATTTTTTTCTTTCCATGACAAAGTTACAACTTTGTCTGCAAAAATGTGTTATAATTTTAATTTTTAAAAACTATTTTATAATTGAATTAGTTTCTATATACATGGCTAATGCCAAAAATGTTTTATTGTGTTCATAAATCACACTTAAAATTTTAAAGTTAGGAGTTTGTTCATCTCTAGATTTCAAATTCAAATCTCTTAGATGCCAATAGTTTTTGTGTTGACAAGTTGATACTTAACTTTATTTAATTTTCAATTGGGCTTTTACAATAGTGAATGGTTGAGTCATTTTCCTTAACGCATCCTAAGTGTTTCTAGTGCACCACACAAATTTTTAAAATTGTTCTTTGTCTTTAAAAATGTATTATTGGACATACTTTTTACGCATATTTTATTTGTTTTTTAATCAAACTCCAATTTATTTATTTTAAAAATATATCTTAAAAAAATTTCCAAAAATATATCTCTCTAAAATCTCTTATTAAATGTTAAAAATGTAATGTCAAAAGATTTACCTGATGAATAAATAAATTAATTAATTAACATATCACCAGAACATTTTGTATATTATAAAAGGATAATATCATCCTTAAATAATATAAGAAAAGAAACAAACTATTGTCGGCTCGCTCTCCTATTCTACCCTATAAAATTATTGCATCTCTTGAATTTACACGACTATATAAAAAAATGTAATATATTCTTTGTGTTTCTTTAACTTTATTTCTCTCATCGAATTCATATTGTTGAGAGAATATAAGTTAGTTTGTTAGAGTTTATTAGTGGATAATTAGAGAAAATAGACATGTAAAATATATTAACAAGATATTAATAAGAGGTGACATCAAGAGGGTTGGATTTTGTTTTATTTGAAAGAATTTTTGGAGGGTTGTTTAATCTTAAAATTTCTGAAATTCATTAAACAAGCGAAAGCCTCTACTACTTTTGTTCTAATAAGATTTCAGGTCTAATGAATAGATTGATAGGTATATGTTAGGTCGTTAGAGTTAACTACAAGCTATGCAAATTCGGAAATATATTTTTAAAATAAATTTATTTATAAATATTAGAATTGACTTAAAAACAAATAAAAATATATATAAAAAATACGTCTAAAAATATAACACAGAAAACAAAAAATATTTTCGAAAATTTGTGTGGTACCCTAAAATACTTAGGGTGCGTTTCACAATTGTTAATTTATAAATAGAATTTGACTTTATTCGTAACTACTTCTAAATATGTAAAATATACAATTATTGCAATTTCTTTGTGATATCAAAAATTTACATTGATAATGTATCAAATTTTACTTTAATTTTATAATTTGACTCAAATTTTAATATTTTTTTAGAGAAAAAAATTAAAACATTAATTAATCATATTTTAATAATATAAATGCTCAATTAGAATTTTAATCTCTTATTTTTACCCGCTTAAAGAATTGATCATTTTATTTTAAAATCAATGGATTGATTTTGGTCTCTCCATCATTTAGTATCGATGGACTTTAAAAATAATGATATGACATATTTTAAATGAGGTGAAATATAATTGGTTTAAGTTGTGAGTTTCTTGGTGGATATTTAATATTCTCTAATAAATTTGAGTTGGATAGCTAAGGCCTAAACTAGCACAAAAGTCTTACACACTCTTTGCTAATAGGGTTATAAATAAGTCTAGTGGAATTGAACTCGTTTTAATTTAGGTCGATTTATTAAAAATTAGTTCAGTTTAAATTTCGGTTTGAGTTCGACACAAAATTTTTTAAGTTTAAATTTGGCTTTTTAAAAGTTGACGAAGAATTTGTTTCATTTCGTTAAATTCAGCTCACTTGTTTTACAGATTTAAAAGTCATTTTTTAAAAGTCTATTTTATTTTTATATATTTGAAATTTTAAATTAATATTTTTTTAAAAATAAAATATTAAAATAAAATAAAAATTATAAGTATGGAATTTAATTTTGTTTCAAAAATCTACTAATTATTCAAAAACTACACAACTTTCAAGAGACGCATTTGAAAATCTAATTTAAAAAATACTGAATTGAAGTTTAAATTTGTCTCAAAAATCCATAACTTCATCGAATATTTAGAAAACTCACAAATTTAATAGAATAGCACACAAAAAATTACTAGATATTAATACATTTTTATCATAGAATAATTACACTACTTACAGCCTTCATTACACATAGGAATGACAATTTGCCTCATCCCTAGTGGGTACCCACAAAAATACTCATAACAGATAGAATAAAAACCCGCAAAACTGGGTACCGACATGGGTACGGGTAATTACCCACTTAAATAAACGGAGATGGGTGTGGATATGGACACCTTAGTACTCACTCCATCCCATAACCGCACAATATATATTTGTATATTTTAATTTATATTATTATATAAAAATAAATGTCTATCAATTTTTTTAAAATACATCAATTTTAAACTACTACATATTTAATATAAGTTATGTTTTATTTCATAATCCAACAGTAAATTTTTTTAATAACTTTTTAATGTTGTTAAAAACTTAAAATAATATGATATTTTATACTTGATATATTTATTTTTATCAAAAATGTGGGTAACGGATACAGGTACGAGCACTTACATACCCATAGGGTACGACTACGGTGCCAATGTTGGTATGCAAGCGGGTATGAACTCGAGTACATGATTTTTTTTCTAACTGTGGGTATGGGGATGAGTACTTCAGTACCCTACCCTAACTCTGCCCATTGTCATCCCTAATTACACATGTTATTTTAGCAAATGTCAATGCCTCCAAAAATGATGACTCTAAATGCAATTGCCCGGTTTACTGTCATAACTAGTACATTAGAGATAATATAGGGTTAAGATTTGGAGTAAATATTTAAACCTACTCTTAAAGATAATATAATCATTTTCATATATAATCGAGTTGACTCATGAACCTAACGAGTTGAGCTATATATAGTAAAAGTTCAGCTCATTTAGTTAACAAACATAATTTTTCGCTCATATTCAACTCATTTGGTTCATGAACCTAGTTCAACGATTTAATTGTCGAACTGAGTTCCAAACTATTTTCGAGTTGGTTCGATTCTTTGTCAGCCCTAGTAATTAGTTTAAAAGGGTGTGAAATAAAAATAATAATTTCTTAGATGAAATATTTCTGAGCTCAATTGTAGAATCAATGTCGTCCCTGTGGTTTTCTAGAATTGTAGCTCACGCATGAAGTGGTGTTGTATAAGAATGTAATGTTGTTTGTTAAGATATTAGATATAATCCAAGTTGAATTATGTGGCTCAATCCAAAGTTAATTAGGGTTTATGATTTTCTATTTAGTTTGTTATTTTACTTAGCAATCAAGTCACTTAGGTGTATAGAAATAGACACTTTGTAATTCAGTTTTATTTCAATAATATCAATCCTTATTTCCTTATTATCTCTTTTTCTCTCCTCACTAAAAGTTCCTCACGCACTAACAAATTGGTATATAGAGTTTCAGTTAGATTCTTGATCGTGTTTTCAAGAATCACACATCAGAGATCGTATTTCTAGAATCGTGAGTTGTTGTTGATCGATCATTGCAAAGATGAATGGTAACAAAAATTTACCAAACTCTTTTCCAACTCTTAATGAAAATAATTAGCTTTGATGAAGAAAACAAATGCAATCTCTATTTGGCTTTAATGAAACCCAAGAAGTGGTTACTAACGGTGTTCCTGCGCTTGGTGAAGATGCAACTGATGCACAGAGAACCGCTCACAAGGATGCTAAGAAGAAGGATTGCAATAAGGTGTTTTGCATACAATCGGCGGTTGATGCAGCTAATTTCGACAGAATCGCTCATGCTGAATTAGCGAACGAGACATGGGATATTCTTGCCAAGTACTATGAAGAAGGCGAGAAAGTCAAGGTTGTCAAGTTGAAATCTTTGTGATGATAATATGAATTGTTGTCGACGGGAGAAGACGAAAAAATTACAGGCTATGTGTTGAAGGTGTAGAAACTCGTCCATCTCATGAAGGGAGACAAATAAAAAAATCTTAAAAACTATCAAATGTAGTGTATCATGTGCTTCACATAATGCATTCACAATTCTTTTTACAACCCATGTAGATTGTGGATGAACTGGTATTGCAAGGTGGTTAACTCTAGATCTTAGGATCTAGGACCGACTTGTAGTGTCTTTTGTTCACCTGATAAGGATGACGAGAAACAATTGGGTGGAGGTTAGTAGGAGAAAAACACATATCTAAAATTCTAAAATATATGTTTGAACCGTTAGAATAGGCAAGGGACAATATGAAAGAGATGAACTATCATCTTTCTTCTTCATAGAGTTTCCAGAAGTTTATGATGCAAGAAAAATGGATGAGGTTTTTAAGGAGTACATATTAGTTTCAGAGGTGTCCATACCTGCTAAGAGAGACAAGTTTGGTAGGAGATATGGTTTCTTAAGGTTTCATAAAGTCCTTGATGAAAGAGTAATGGCCACTAAGCTAAATAATATCCAAATTGGTGGGAGAAAGCTATTTGCAAACATTCCAAGGTTTTAGAGGGAAAATAGTTGAGAAAGAATCAATATGCACGTTGTAGACCAGAGGAGAAAGAATATGGTGGCCCTCGAGCTAATAATAGTGGAAACCTTGTGAAGCTGGATCGAACATATGCTCAAGTAGTTAAGAAGATGAAGGAAGATAATGTTATAACAATGAAACAAATGAAGCTGGTGGAGAAACCATGTTTTGCCCATCTACATTTCAAAGCTACAGATAACGAGATTGAGAGATTTGAGAAAGCCTACATTGGTGTAGTAATGACATCAGGATCCACGTATGGTTTCCAAGAAGCTCTAAATGTTAGGGGTTATTTCAACATTAAAGCGACACCTCTAGGCGCGAATCAGTGTCTACTCGAAGAAATGAAGGTTGGAGAAATTAAGACAATGGTGGAAGAAGATGAGAAGTGGATTAGAAGTTGGTTTCAGGACATTCGACCCTGGGCTCCAAATGACGTTGATGGAGAAAGACTTACGTGGATGAAATGTTTTGGGCTTCCCTTTCATTCCTGGAATCATCGCTTCTTTAAGTTTATGGTGGGACGTGTTAGTGAATTCATATGTTGTGACAAAGAAACAGTTTTGCAGATGAATATGGATGTCGCTAGATTTCTCGTAAAAACTAAGTTTTCTATCAATTTGAATGAAGTCTTTAACGTAGACATAAATGAAAATATATATAGGATAAAGCTTTTCGAGGATTTTCATGGGCCAAAAAGAATTAAAGTGGGAAACAAATATGAGGTGGTATATGAATCGGAGATGTCGGATTCAGATGACGACACCGACGTGTGGGAATCCCTCTCCATTGTGGATTCCTCGGATGAAAGTGAAGAAGATACACATGAAGTATCTAAGAAAAGTAATGATGGTAGGGGCGAGTTTTAAGGGCATAAAGTACAAAAATTTGGCGAAACAGTGCCTTGAAAAAGTGGATGTTTAGGATACTGTGGCAAGTAGTATGGGGAATAGCTATGGAGAAGGTGAAAAGTTTCTGCTTGGAAATAGTGATAGAGATAAATACAAAAGCGTAAAGGTGGTTTTGTAGAAAAGTCAAGGTACATCTGACATGGTGGAAGCTGACAAGAACATGAATTTAGAGGAGTCAAGGGTTATAGCACGTGTGGATCAAAGGATGGGCCAGAGATTGAACCTGGATATGGGCCCAATACAAAATCAGTCTGATCCAATCCAGTGTACATTAGATGGGCCTAAGGGATATCCTTTGGATGTTAGACCAAAGAAAAAGAAATCATTATTGGAAATTTATCAGAGCATCAAAATTCCTTTCTCTCCCTCATATTACTCTGCGTTGGTTCTACATCCACTGAATTTTAATCATAATCTAATTACATAGAAATAAGGTGATGTTTTATCTCAAAGTGGAGGACTGGAAGATGCAATCTCATCAAATTATTCAGGAGGATCAATTCTATGTTGTGATTCTATCACCGAGACAGATTTTAATCGGGGAAACAGTAGAATAAAAAACTCAATGATGGTGTACCGAATAAAGTATGGGAATCTATCAAAGTTATGGGGGTCAAGGGGGAAGAAGATGATGAGGTTTTTGAAATAATTATATATGATATAGAGGGTAGAGATAGGAGATTATTTGAGGAAAGTATGGGGGAAGAAATGAAGATTCCATGAATTGTGTATCTTTCAATGTAAGGGGGTGTGGATCCGTAGTGAAGAAATCGAGGATCTGTCAAATTTGGCTAGACAAAAAGGCAGATAAGTGCTTTTTACAGGAAACCAAGATTCAAATCATACAAGAATCATGGGTTCAGTACATTGGGGAAATGGCGAGTGTGGATGGTCAGGGATTGCGTCTGAAGGGCAGTCAGAAGGTATAATATTAGTATGGAGGAAGGATTCATTCTTGTCTGAATTCAGTTCCAAGGGTAAAGGATATTTGGGCATTACTGGTAATTGGAAGGGTCTGAGGTGCTATTTTATTAACGAATATGCTTTGTGTTCGATGGCTGAGAAAAGGACGATTTAGTGGATCTCATTAAGGTTAAGACTAGTTTTCCAAAAGGAGAGTGGCTGGCGATTTAAATGAAATAAAGTCTAATGGGGAGAGAAAAGGTAACAGTAAAAATAGGGAATCTGAAATGTTGGAATTCTTAGTATTCATTGAAGATATGAGTCTAGTTTATATCCCTGTCATAGGGAACAAATTTACATGGGTTAAATCTAATGGAAGTTGTAAGAGTAGGATTGATAGGTTTCTGTTGACAGAAGGGATGATATCCAAATGGGATGTTAAGGTGCAAAGGGTGGGACATATGGATATCTCATATCATTGCCCTATTTGAGTTCAAAATAGCAAGATGAATTAGGTTTCAAAACCATTCAAGGTGTTTAGGTTCAACCACCCTAATTTTCAAGAGTTTGTGGCTTCTACTTGGAAGGGTTTTCAGTTTGAGGGAAGTCCAACATTTATTCTTTCAGAGAAGCTGAAAAAAAGAGAGAACAACTGAGATGGTGGAACAAGAACATATTTAGGTGGATAGATTTAAATGTAGAAGAAGGGGTTAAAAATATGAATGGAATAGAGGAAAATTTGGATTTTATTGATGGGAATCTAGGGGAGGATGATCTAAGAATGAGGAGTGAGACAATTGATAAAATCTGGAGCAATTTGAATCTTAAAGAGGCTATGATCAAGCAGAAGGCAAGAAGCAATTGGATTCCAGATGGATATTCCAATACTAAATATATTCATTCAATGATGAAAACGCGAAATAGGAGAAATTACATTGGTGCTTTGAGGTCTGGCAATGATATATTAGAGGAGGTTACTAATATGAAGAGACACATTAAATATTTTTTCAAAGAAAAATTCAAGAAGAAAACATGTTCTGGAGTGCTTCTAGATATGACAGATATTCAAACATTATCTGCAGATGATGACAAGATGTTGGTTGAACCTTTTTTGGCTGAAGAAATATGAGAGGTTATCTCATCTAGTGATGGAAGCAAAAGCCCTGGACCAGATGGATTCAACTTCAATTTTTTGAAGCAGTGTTGGAGTATAGTAGAAGGAGACATAGTCAATGTTATCAGACATTTTCACAGGTTTGCATCTCTGCCAAAAGCTTTTGCCTCGTCTTTCATTACACTCATTCCAAAAAAGGAACAACCTATGAAGCTTCAGGATTTTCGGCCTATTAGTTTGATAACATGTGTGTATAAGATCATCTCGAAGTTGATGGCTAGAAGGCTTAGTAGAGTAATGGATAAACTGATCTCCAATAACCAAACAACATTTATCCCTGAATGCCAAATGATGGATGGAGTTTTATTGACTAACGAACTTCTTGACATGGTGAAGAGAAATAAAGGAAAGTGCTTATTATTTAAAGTTGATTATGCACAAGCTTACGATTGTGTGAGCTGGGAATTTCTAGAGGAAATAATGAAGGCCATGAAGTTCTATCCCAAATGGATACAGTGGATAAAAGGGGGCACCCTAAACTGTCATATATCAGTATTAATTAATGGTTGAACAACGACTGATGGGTTGGTTATGCTGATGAGAAGGGAAAATTCTACAGGCATTCTCAACGGATACAAGTTGATAGATGGAGGTATGGTAAATCTAATACAGTATGTTGACGATACTATCTTGGTTTGTGAAGGTGACTGTGGTGATTTATGGGGTATTAAATCGATTATAGGGGCATTTGAACTACTATCTAGATTATGTATTAACTTTTGTAAGAGTAAGGTTTTGGGGGTTGGGCTAGAAGAGTCATTTATGACAAATGTTGCTCATTTTCTGGCTTGTAACATTGGTCACCTCCCTTTCAAGTTTGTGGGAATTGAAGTTGAAGGCAACCACTGTAGGCTTGAATTTTGGAAACCTGTTTTGAATTATTTCAGGTTAAAGCTTGCTTCTTGGCGTGGCAAAATGATATCTTTTGGAGGCAGACTTACACTAATCAATTTAGTCCTTACCAATCTTCCAATTCATTATCTGTCTTTCTCCAAAATACCAGCAAAGATATTGAAGGAGCTCATTGCGATTCAAGGCTATTTTCTATGATTTGGATGTGTAGACGTAGGGAAGGTGGCTTGGATTGCATGGGAAAAAGTGTGCTTGCCAAAGAAACAAGGAGGTTTGGGCGTAAAAGACCTGAAGATTTTTAACGACTCACTCCTATCTAAATGGCTATGGTACTTTGTAAACAATCATTCTTCTATCTGGACTAAAATTCTTAAAGCTAGATATGGAATATTGAGGGACAAAATTATGCTTAAGAGGAACACTATGTGTTGCACCCCAAAATTTGCTTAACCTTTTCTTGCCTGATTTATGTTTCACTGCATTTCATTTGCATAGCATAACATAGCCCTAACATTGGCAT